TACTACTACTACTACTACTAGTAGTAGTAGTAGTAGTACTACTACTACTACTACTACTACTACTACTACTATTCTACTACTACTACTACTACTACTACTACTACTACTACTACTACTACTACTAGATTCCGGGCATCGAATCCTGCAAACTCACAGTGGATTACCAGTGAAAGTTTCCAAAACAGGGAGACCAGAAAATCGTACCAACAAAACAGGATCCTCAAGAAACGAAGTTAAACGCAGCTCCAGCAATGGGACCGTCCAACAATCAAATTCCCATCACGAAATCTTCACGAAATCCCAGAAAACCTCGTCGCCTGGCGGCCGCGGAGCGCGAAATTCGCACCCTAACCTAAACCCCACACAGGCCCTAAACCCTAACGAACCCTCCATAAGATGAGCCGTCACCGGGGCTCCTTGGCCTTCACCAAATCAATGCAACCCTGATCCTGACACCCCACCTCGAACCCCGACTACACTACTATAGGGGCCTTAATACTTACCTATATTATTTTGCGGGTTCCTTATTATAACTATAGTATAGTATACCCCAAAACCCTGTTCGAATGATTAAGGCCCCTACATTACACCCCTATATAACACTGCTTTGAAGAACAACAGATTTGGGGCTTGTGGGGGTAAAGCCTCGATTCCACCCTAATATAAGGGCCTCAATAATTACGAGTACTATTTTGGGGGCTCCTTATTATAATTATGGTATACTGTAGCCCAAAACCCTATTCTAATTATTGAGGCCCCTATATTACACACTAACCCCAAACCGTTCCGGAAAACCGCTCGTATAGATTATGCCCCCATGTCTGGGTGCGGCGCACCACCGCTTCCTTCCGGACAGCAGGAGCAGCCTATCACGGACTCGATTCAAGGGTTTCATCGGGTTTCGGGTTTAGGGGTGCGTGTTGGTTGGGTGTTTCAGGGTTTCGGCGTTTGTCATCGGTTGCAAGATTTTGGGCTTGTCAAAGCCTTCAAGAAAGTTTGAGACCAAAGCAGAAGATGTAGGGTTTAAGCTTGCCAGGGCCGAGGCATTCACGCGCTTTAGCTGCTCCCTTCTCCAATAGCCGGGTCCCAAAAAAACCCACCTTTCTATCATAGACCAACTAGAGCAGGCCAGCAAGTGTAAAGGTCTCCCATTGGCTAAGTAAGCCTGTGAGCCCCAAGTGACGACCATTTCAGCCCTGAGCCCCGGGCCAGTTTCGTTCGTGCCTGTGGAAGGAAAGCCCGCCAGGCGCGATGTCCTCGCAAACCGATTGCAGGAGCTCCCCTGAGTAAGCAAGGAGTCGAGACTACCTCTGATATTATCCCTCCAGAAGTGACAGTAGGAGTAGTACTAGTAGTCGTGCCGTAGTTAGTAATCGTCGTCGTCGCTCGCTAGGTCGCTGGGTTGCTCGGTCCACTTCTGACTTCCTGCGGCCCTTTTTTCACGCGCAGGTGTACGGTGACAGCCATGGCAGAAGAATCTTCGCCAGACCTCCATTATCTCGCCGCGTGGTCCGGAGAGAGACGGCATGCACATGCCATCGCCTAGCTCTGTCCTATTGTGTTCGTTCAGGGTTTACCGAGGTTTTCGGGCTTAGGGCTTTGAGGGTTTAGGGTTTACCCTTATGGCTTTGGGTTGCGCCCTCTGAAAGCACGCAGGCATACACTCGTAATCCTTGTGTGCGCGTCATTGTTTCTGTGGTTGGGAGCGGACCTGGTTATTCGGTTGTACGTGTCCGTCCTGCCTGTACATCTCCGCCCGTCTGCGGGCCTGTGTGTCTGTCTCCGCTGCTTGTTCCGTCTGTTCGTGATAAGCTGTGCCTGTCCATCTCTGTCCCTGCCCGTCCGCATCTACCTGTCTGTCACTGTCCCTGTGCCGCTCTGTTTCTGCGCACGTGTGTCCATATGTGCGGATTAGCTGTGAATATGTGCGCAAGCATAAAAGCTCACGTCTTGTCGCTTGAGTAGTCATGCATGCTGTCGCTTCTCTGTTGGTCGAATACTCATTTGATGTGTACAAATCACTTGAATTTTATGCATCAAGGCTTGCGTCATGTCTACACAATCATACCTTTGCCAGCGTACTTATTGAAACCAGGGAGATGTTGACGACCAGGCAGGTGACCATGCCTGAAACTTTCCCTCATGGCATGTGCCTTCCTCTCAAGCGCAGGCATATCATTGGCTCTGCACTATGTACGAACACAGCCGTCAGCATTTTGGCTGACTGAGCCAGCATGCTTCGGGGCTGTCGTCTTCTGCATATATTGACACCACAAAAACCCTGAATTCCGCCTAACTCCCATGCATCCTGATAATGCTGCACTTCACACCTCAATCCTGCAAACCTAATCCCTAAGCCTGTAATTATCTAGAAATGCAGAATCCCTGCACCTGACATCACGGCACCCTCGTACCACAAAAACCCTCAAGTTTAACCCCAACAACCCCTAACCCCTAAACCCTAAACCCTTAACCCCACAACCGTAAACCCCTTAACCCTGAACCCCAAAGCCCTAAACCTGAGGCCCTAACATTCAAAACCGAAGACAAAGCCCGAAACTCGAAACCCGAAACTCGAAAGTCCTAATATAGGGGCCTAAGTAATTACCAATACTACT